CCTGAAAGCCAGCAATCCACAAACAAGGTTTTATTAACAAGTATCAAGGCCTGTGAAGAGCATAAAAAGAATAATCAGAAAGAATTACACAACCACTGGCATAGTCCCTCAGAGAACTTAAAGAAGAAACAAGTCCGATGACCCCATCATACATAAGGCAACCACATTTTCACACTACCTTCCCCTGTCTATATACAAACGTACATTAAGTGAAACACGAAGACATATTATATCCCCCATACAAAATATTCACTCAAACAATGTGTTTGAGACATCCTGAAGAGAAAACAGAATATGAATCTATTACTTCTAGAAGGACCTGTCTCCAAACAACCAAGTCAAAAAATCCAGAAGCTTAGAAAAAGGAATGTTAACTACAGGAAAAAGGAACATTCTAGTGCTTCAACATCTTGTATCCCACATACATCTGTCAAGCTTTCCTTTTTTATCTGAGTACATTGCACTCTAAAATACTAATTTCCACTTTTATATAATCTGCTCCCAGCTCTAATGACAATAAGCATGATTGTCTGCTACTATTTTAAAGTGTAGAAACTAGGATAAACTGAAAGACATCTTTGAAGAGATTAATAAGGCAACACCACTACAACACAGCATCATGGAGTGAAAAGGAAAAGTATTTGCAGGCTGCCAAGTGTGTCTGAAGACAAGAGAAAGCTTGACATGCAGTTATGCACAAATCTGCTTTGACAGAGATGTAGACAGGATTTAAATAGACTCAGATATTGGAAATTACTTCCTAGCATCATGAAACATTACTTATCATTTCAATACCATTATGTAACAGATATTCCAGTGATGATCTCATTTCTCTTTCAGAATAGCAAGAAAGGGATTGAAAAGTTTTAGAAGCACTGAGCACTAGCCCAGTTCATTTCAGAGAAAAGGCACGCTGCCAGCCAAACACCAACTTCAGCCCCAGACTTTCCCTCCCAAGCTGTAGTAGGCACATCAGCGAATAGCATTTCCCTTAAAAATAGTTGCACAGGGTGACTCTGTGAAGACTAAGAATGTGCCAATGTGATAAATACCTGTGACAAACATGTTTCACACACTATTAAGAAAGCACACCAAGCCTACAGAAAAGTGTTTGAACAAAAGGACAGGTTTTAAAATAAGCTTTTGAAAGAAAGATCTGAAAGACTAGGCAGAAAACACTCCTGTTAGATTTACTTTCATCTTTTACTTACCTTTAGACTCTTGCTCTGTTTCAATCAGACCTCTCCCACAACCAGCCAAGTGCCAAAGCCCTCAGCTATTCACTCCAAGTTAAGATTTCAGTCTCTTGCTCAAGCATTCTATTTTGTATAAATAGTTGTTTATTAGAACAAAGCTGAATGTGATTCTCACGCATTTCAGGTGAACACAACCACTGTTTGAACCATTTTGGAAGAAGATTATTTTTATCTTTCTGGTTTACTAAAACAGGCTTGTGATTTAAACACCACATTATCCACAGGAAAATGTGACTGCTGTAATGCATAGCTAAAACAAACAGAAATATCCTCTTGTGAGGATGAAGCTAATAGGGAAAG